AGGAAATGATAGTGCTGAGTGTCTACTACCAAGTGTCAGAAGTCTACTGCATATTTAGCAACTGGCTGATGTCCCTGTGGCAACACCCAAATTGTGGTTTTGGCTGTGCTCTCGCAGCATAAAAGATTACCACCATAACTTGAATGAAGACCTCATATTGTCCCAAAAGGGGGCTTGATTTTTCCAGGAGCAGAGACTCACAAACCAGGGCCTTCCCATTAAGCAGGCTGACAGTCCCACTTGGGCTTGGTTAGTGGAGTACGACTGGACACAGCAGAAATAAGAGCTGATGCTGACTTAGGAACCCACAGATATTGTCATGCTTGCCATTGAACTTGTCAGGTAGGAGAAACTTGGGCTCATGGGGCATGGGAGTTGGCACTAAAGGTGGCACGACTTGAGCTTGCAGGACTGCATTCTATGCCAATAGGGCAGTTACCTGGGCCTGCAAGGTCTGTAGGTGTCTGCTATCTCTGTCAGAAAGATATTGGTGCTGAGGGTCAGAACCGTGTTACCTGGAGTGAATCAAGGCTGGGTGCAAGACAGGGGCAAGGCTGGGAACAAGCACACACAGGAGCTATAACAGCCGTGGACAAATGCTTTGAGAAGCTGCTGCTGGTCTTGAGAGCCAGCCTGCTGGCTCATCTAACCAATCAGTGTAGCCAACCAGGCTGCCTATTGTAAACCAGCTGTCAGTGTTAGGCTACCTGGAGCCGGGCGTAGCGTTGACCGATTCCGCACGCTCTCAGAACCGGCTCGTTGTGGGGGTCCCACGAGCGCAGGGGTCCCATGATCAGGGCGTGTATCTGGACCTCGTAGCCCTGGGCTCTCACGGTCTCGGCCAGCGGGGTGTACTTCGACGTCTTCCGTGCTTGGGCCTCATGGAGGGCCGTCGACCGGTTTTGAAAAGGCACCGTAACGTCTACGATGAGGACCACCTTCTTCTCTGCGTCCGTCATGACGAAGTCGGGTCGCATTCTGCTGTCTGTCCCGGGGATGGCGGAGTCGAGGATGATCTTCCCCAGGGACGGCGGGATGGCTTTCACCAGCCTGTTCTGGATGGCATTGTGGCGGTACCGCCAGGCTCCGGAGTGCTGTTTGTATCCACACAGGACGTGGGGCAGGGTCTCGTTTGCATAGCCTCACTTCCTGCAGTGCTTGTCTCAGTTGCCATGGTGGATGGCTCCGTTGAGGGGAACACAGTTGAGTCGGCCCCTGTGGACGAACCACCAGTCGGCGAACCTGGTGAAGCTGCCCCCGGGATGGTGTCCTTCAGGATCTTTTCCAGCATAGCTCTGGCGGTCGGGGTGACGATGGTGTGGTCCGGGGTCTTTAAGCATGGTACCAGTATTCCCAGCTCCCGGTGCTCCTCGCACCACTTCCAGCAGCAGCCGATCCTCTTACCCAGGCATCTCGCAGGACCAGAGAGAGGATAGGTCTCCCCCTCTCGCCCAAACTCAGCCTCCAGGAAGCTGCTGAGGTAAGTGGCGATGTCCTGCTCGGAGGGGGCCCTGGCGGTGCGTTTCCTGACCACGGCCCGTACGGCTTCCTGCGCGATGCTCCTCAACGTCGGGTCCGGGCATATCAGGAGGCGGAAGGAGTGGGTCATCACCGCCATGTCGCACAGGTCACCCATCTGAGGTACGTTGGCGCCGCCCTGGCTGTGGGAAATGTAGATGATGTCTGTGCTGGCCCTCTGGGGAAGGTAGAGCCACTTCTTCACCAGCTGCCTGATGGTGTTGTCGGCCTTGTTCAGGGGCACCTTGGCTACGGCCGATCCCCTGAGGACAAAGGAGATGCGGGGGATCAGGAAGGTATTGAGGGCGTTGATCTTTTGCCAGGGGGCGAGCAGGGAGGAGTCGATTTGGGCCGTGTCTCGCAGGATCTCCGCGATAGTGTCTTCGTGGGTCTGTCGGACGCAGACTCCTGTGGGTGTGCTGAGATGTTGGTATACCTCTCCCTCTATGATTGTATTACAGAGCTTCAGCTTTGTCAAAATGTAAAGGAAGAGTAAATTTACTAGTATGCATTCATATCCTTTCAGTTACTTGGAACCTCTAGCTAGTCCAAACTGCTTCATAGTGGAATTGAAATAGCGAGAGAATATTACACTTTTAATCTTCACTAGCTGCCCAGTCCTCTTCTGAGTGAAATTCTTGGTGTTGATTACCATCTGCAAATGGTGGGAGAGGAAGCTGGAGAGCAGAGTGGCCCAGAAGCTGCTGCACTTAACTGCTAGATAGACAGGAGGGCAAGAATAAGTCTGTGAGTAGATGGTTGTGTATTTGGGTGGGGTGTATGTGCATGTAATTGAACGTATTTGTGGATTTGGTTGGTAGGTGAGAGAGGAAGACAAAGTAGGGAGATAAATACAAGTATGTGACTGGTCCTTGGGGAGCATGTGCTTTGGAGGGGTGGGAGAAGTATGAAGAGACTGCTGACTTTACTTATTATTTCTTCGTGAGAATGAAAAAAATTAAAAACAGAATTTTGCCTACAAAAAGTCTTGTTAGAATAACATTTGGCTTCATTATTGTTTCTGGTTCTAACAGCACTTTGAATCCTCATATTGAATTCTGGAAGTAATTTTAGTACATTTCTATATAAATAACTGTATAATGGTCGATATATGCATGCAGAAAACACTGCTGAAATTTAAAAAATGATTTTGCATAATTTGGCTATCTTATTATTTTCTCTCCCCTCTCATCCATGTATCTAACTAGAATTTACAAGGACTAGTTGAGTAGTGACTGATCTTTGTATGCCACTTGAATAAGTGTGCTATCCCAAGTACAATAAGATAAAAGTCCCTTGTAATTGGAGCTGTGCTGCTAGGTTTTTTAAGAATTTTGACCACTTCAGGAAAGGAAAGAGTTCTTGTTACTGGTAATGTTCACAAGCTACAGAGAATTTCTACAGCACTGGATGAATCTGTAAGTGAAAGTATGCAATAGGTTTAAATTTATAGAGGCTAGATTTATTTGTCATATCTAGACAGACTCTTTTCCTCCTAGTTATAACACAATTATGTGAAGCAGAAATTAATCAAAGGCTTTTGTTTTCCACTCTTCCTATTACTCTGCATATATAAATAATTTGTTTAGTGCTTATCTCCAGTGCTTCAGCACCATTCTGATGTGGCAAAGCAAGTGCAAAGAGATGAGTCCTCATTTTTCTTCTGGAGATGGTTATGTCTGAGCTCCTTCTGATTTCTCATTGGATTGTATTCACAGTCAAGGTTTTACTGCTGAAAAACCCTGTCCCATAGACTTTTACCATGGCCTCCCTCAGCTGCAACCTTTTCAGAGGATTGTGACTGTTGTGAGGGTCCTGGAATTTAAAAATATTTTTTAAAGTAACCAGGACCGTTGGGGCTGCTTTGATTAGGACTAGAACCTTTAAGTGAATCAGTAATGGGCGAGTGTTGACTAGACTGATGTACAGCTCTTGTTGGTTCCTATGTCACAAGAAGTTCTGGCTTCTCTGAATGCCCCTTTACAAGTCCCTTTATTTTACCCCCTCCGCCCAGCCCCACAAAAAAAAAAAGGCACGAGGGGGGGAGAAGGAGGAGAAAAAGTCCTAACCTGTTAGTCTTTCTTGTCTCTTAGCTTAGTGATTACTTCTCATGTGTTGTCAGCTGCTAGGGACAGGAGAGGATCAGAAGCAGTAGCTTTATTTCATCGGAGAAGGGGAGCTACCACTTCATCCCTCATCCCATGCTTTTGTAACTAGTAATAGCAATTTTTCCTCTTCATTTCTTTGCCATCATTGACACACTTCGTTCTGTTTTGATAGGAAGAGAAGTGGTGTATTTACAAAAATCTGGTCCTGAAGAAAGTGTGCTCTAGTAGTACATCATGAGTCTAGTGTTCAGTATGTTGTTTGTAAATAAAACTTTGAAGGATCTTAAACCAGATGCTTTTTAAAAACTTGCTACTAAGTTTTTTCCATTGAATTTTTCAAAAACAAACAACATAATATTTATAGTCATGTAATGTCTCCCAAAATTTAAATATTTAAATTTCCTTAGAGCTGAGATTTCCATTTTCTGGATAATTTGGTAAAACGAATTTGAAGAACAGTTTACCTACAAAGTAAGATTCAATAATACTCCAACCATTTTCTGCAACAGGATCTATAAACCTCGAACTATATTTCAGGGTTTTTCTATCACTTTATGAATTTTCACAGCAAGAAAGGTGAACGGGGTCTTAATTGGATTGGCCTATAAAAAGTGTTACTTCTCTTTTGACTGTAAGTGCAAGAACACTCTGATGGATTGCATGTCTCTTGACCATCTTGAACAATCAGTATTGGCTACACAACTCTCAAGGTGTGACTGGTGAAATGGAGAGATTGCAGTGGCCATATTTGGGGGAGAGGAGGTGCCATATATATAAAAATTCAGTAGTGTTGTAATCATATCTGAGGATTTTACATTTGTGGCTTTTGTTTTTGGTTTATTTTTATTGATGCTTGTTTAGGGAGAGTGAAGGTTCATTGTACAGCCACCTACGTGCACATTTACAAATGGCATTGTACATTCAGGACTGCTAACTGTATGGTCTAAAATGGTCACCCAAAACCATTTTTTTTAAAGTAAATATGTTCACTATAACAGAGATTGGAGGGGAAATTTTTTCATTTGACAGCTTTTTGCAAGTCTTTTGGTCTGTCCCCTGTTTCTGTGGGCCTTTTATACAGAAGCAAGAAGGGGGAGAGAATCAATTTTAAAAATAAAGGGAAAAGTATGGCCATAAAGGTACAAATTGATAGGGAGATAAAACATTTGGAATGGTGATTAATATCTGGGTCATCTGAAGCAGGAATATACTCCTTCCTGTTCCTGAGATCTTGCAAATCCGGTTCAGTCAGAATCTTGTGAAAGTTTCCATGGGTCTTCGCCACTTCAGAGCACACTTTTTTTTTTTAATCAAATCTAATTTAAAAATTGAAAATATAACTTTGTACAAAAGTGTTTAATGCTTATTTTGCAGATGGTGTTCTGACACTGAATACAGAGAACAGTAATTGTTCCTACCAAGTACCAAGCTTCCATAAGTGTGAGATCTGTTTGCTATCTTTTTCAAAAGTGACACAGTTCCAGCGCCACATGAGGGATCATGAGAGAAATGATAAGGTATGTATTTCAGTAAATCTAGATAAAAATCTAAAATATATGAATACATCAAAAGTTAAATCCAGCATTTTAATAGGTGAGGTTGAAGACACATTTAACTGTGTTCAGTAGTGGTGCTGATAGCCAAACTTTGCAGTTTAGTTGGTCAAAACTTTTTCACTACTCCCTGAACACACGTGCGGTCTGTAAGGAATGAAAGAAACCTTGCATTGGATAACATTTCAGATATGATCTTATCCCCAGCTGAAGCAGTTTTTGCTTAGGTATCCACAGATAGTCAATTGTCTCTGTAAAGTATATAGGTGGGCTAAAGAAACTGGCAAAAAGATTTTTTTTTCTTCAAGATTTTAGATAGTAAACTGACTACTCTTTATCAACAGTAGGGAAATTTGTTTGACTTATTTAATTGGCAAAATTTTGTACCCAACTGATTTATTAGAATTAACTTTCCCTTATGTAAACTATCTTCTTCTCTTTTCTTTTTTCCCCTTAAAGAATTAATTTGATTAAAGGAAACAGCAAAATCCTGCATGAAATGGTAACCAAAGTAGTTATCACTTCAACTGCTTCTAAACCAGGTGGATGAAGTGGGTTTTAGCCCACAAAAGCTTATGCTCAAATAAATGTTAGTCTTCAAGGTGCCACAAATATTCCTCATTCTTCTTGTGGGTTAAGGCACTGTATTAAGATTTAGGAAGTCTGGGTTAATTCTAGGCCCTGACGTAGATTTCCTGTGTAAGTTTTTAAGCAGTTTTATTTAATTGCTGTACCTTGGTTTTAAATTTGTAAAACGGGAATAATCCTTTCCTACTTCATGTTGGGAGGACCGATTCATTAATATTTGTCTTGTGGTGAGGAAGATATAAATTAACTGTCTTTTTGAGATAAATTATTACTCAAGAATTTTCAAATCTCAGGAAATCAACCCACTTGTGCTGAGAGAGCATTTGTATCATAAAAAAATTGATAATGTCTTAACTTCAAATTCTATACTTAAAAATAATCTGTGGTTAATTTGGAAATTATCTGTTCACTCGAATGAAGAAAAGGAGCAATGTTTCTGAACAAAATGCAAGGAAAGATCAATTTTAAGAATGAAAAATGATTGCGTACAACAGGGGTGGCCAACCTGTGGCTCCGGGGCTACATGTGGCGCTTCAGAAGTTAATATGCTGCTCCTTGTATAGGCACTGACTCCAGGGCTGGAGCTACGGGTGCCAACTTTCCAATGTGCCGGGGGGTGCTCACTGCTCAGCCCTTGGCTCTGCACAGGCCCTGCCCTCACTCCACCCCTTCCTGCCCCCTCCCCTGAGCCTGCCATGCCCTCGCTCCTCCTCCCTACCCCCCAGTGCCTCCTGCAAGATACAAAACAGCTGATTGGGAGGTGCGGGGAGGGAGGGGGAGGCGCTGATCGGCGGGGCTGCCAGTGGGTGGGAGGTGCTAGGAATGGGGGTGGGGGGAGTTGATAGGGGGGCTGCTGACGTATTACTATGGCTCTTTGGCAATGTACATTGGTAAATTCTGGTTCCTTTCCAGGCTCAGGTTGGCCCCTGGTGTACAAAATTGTAGAGTAGCACGGTTAACCTTGGAATAAGCAAGATAGTAATTCTCTTAAATGCTCTCTGCTTTTCTGGTCAGATGGTTGGTTGAGCCCAGAAGAGGAGTTCAGGATTATGTACATTTTAGAAAGAGATTTAGTTTTTGTCTCCACTCTTCTCTCTTGCCAGTCCCTTCCTACCCCCAAATCAAATGGAATTATGAAAAATTGGGGAGTCAGAATTTCTGTTGAGTATTTTAGGTCATGGGACCATGAGAGAGAATAATCAGGAGGATTCTCCTGTGTCATTATTGTAGATAGGTTCTTGAATTGCCTGTTTTTTGTTTTAATTATTATGTGGATTTTTTTTAGTTTATATTATAGTCTATATCTGTGAGAAGATTAGACCTAATATATTTATGTTAATCTTGTTTCCCCAAAGCCTCATCGGTGCGACCAGTGTCCAATGTCATTTAATGTTGAGTTCAACCTGACACTTCATAAATGTACTCACAATGGGGAAGATCCTACATGTCCTGTGTGTAACAAGAAATTCTCCAGAGTGGCTAGTCTCAAAGCTCATATTATGCTACATGAGAAAGAAGAGGTAATACTTAACCTAATTTTTAATTTTTGAAAGAATGTGATATGAATGTTACACTCAAGAAATTAAGCTTGTTCTTTTGCACAGAAGGGTGAGTAAATGAGGCAGAGCTATAACGTTCATAATGGAGAACATAAACAATTTAATAATATTAGCTAGAAATGGACATACCTGATATACACTAACTGCCTCAAGTGAATCCCTGCATATTTGGTAAATAGGTTACTGAGAGTCAAGGGCAGTAACAAGAAAATAAATATTTATCTTTTGTAAAATCATGTTATCTGAAAGCGGGATCAATCATATTTACTTGAAAGTGTTTTTGATGAGAACGAAATAACATTTCAAGACTCGTATCTATTTAATCTTCTATGCTATTTATATCATCTAGTTTCAAAAATTTGATATTGAAGAAACCTAAATTTTCTTTGTTTCAAATTTCAAAAATACCTCATCTCACCTGTGGAACTCAGTCCCTTAGCAGTGTAGAGTTTGGAACCTTCTAGAATAGCAGTGCCCACTGGGTCTGCATGCATCTTCCCTAGTGGATGCCTTTCCCTAGAGGATAGCTTCATAGCAATCTAGAGATTCATTTTGTAAAATCTGCCGGAGGAGGATGGATTCTATCACTTATGAACTTGAACTAAAATTTAGGAACTAGAAAAAGATGTGCTATCCACTGAGAATTTAAGATCTTCTCTGCACTGTTATGTTTAATTCTGCTTTTGTTTCCTCGGTTCTAGCCTAGTCCTGTGCTCCATTTATAGTTTTGGCACCAATTTAGCCAGTTGTGGACTTTCTGAAATGTTAGGTTCTTCTTCGAGTGATTGTTCATGTGCATTCCAAGCAGGTGTGTGCGTGCCGCGTGCATGCCAGCCAGAAGATTTTACCATAGCAGCGTCCGTAAGGTCGGCTCCAGCACCCCCTGGAGTGGCGCCTTTATGGCTGACCCTACAGACCATAGGGGCCAGCCGACCCCCCAGCGCCTCAGTTCCTTCTTACCGCCGATGACGGCTGGCTGGAACTTCTCTTGCTCTTTAGCAATCATGGCAGTGTTCTATAGTTTTTGTACATAGTTTATTAGTTAGTGGTTAGTGTTAGATAGTTAGGAATCAGTTGGGGGGTTTTTCCCCAACTTTTCGTCGCCCCACTGGGGCATGCCCGGGTCCCCAGGGTTCAAACTCTGCCAGGACTGCGGGAAATTTATGCCGAAAAGTGATCTGCACTCTTTGTGCTTACGGTGCCTCGGGGAGGCCCATCAAAGGGACAGGTGTCCTATGTGCAGGGCTTTTCGCCCCAGGACTCTCAAGGATAGAGAGCAGAGACTTAAAGTCCTCCTAATGGAGGCGGCACTCTGGCCGCAATCGGATCCCGGACCTTCGGAGCCGGCACCCAGCACTTCATCCTCGGTGCGCAGTGCCCCGGCACCGGAGATAGGTCGTGAGGCCAAGGCCCCAAAACCTCAGCACCGGAGAGGGTCGGCGCATAAGAAATCGTCTTCGACAAGACGCCACTCCCTTTCGCCGGTGCCGGCTAAAAAGAACAGGCCGCTGACCGAACAATCTCCCCACCGGGACTCTAAAGGTCGGGCGCAGCCCACGATTGTTACGGGGCAACCCGCACCGCAGACCCATCCGGCCATCCCGTTGACTCCCGCCCCGGAGAGGGCAAGGTCGAGTCTGGAATGGCATAGATCCCCGGACTTGATGGAGGAGGTCCGTCTCCCATCGACGCCTGAGGCGTTCGAGGCAGCCTCAGACCTCTTGAACCTTCCGGTGCCGGCGTCGCTGCACCGGTGCAGAGATCCGGCTGCCGCCGGGCCCCAGCATCACTCTAGGGGTAAACCGGTGATGCGCTCACCACACTCTCCACGCGGTGTCACGGTAGCGGCACCGGTGCGAGCACCCCAGCCGGTGACTGTGGGTACCACTCCTCCGATGTCCTCCTATTCAGACACTTCTGACTCGGAGGCGGACTCCTACCGTTCTAACAGATCGAGGAGCAGATCGTCCTCGCGTAGGAGTACCCAACCGTATCCGCCATGGTGGCATCAGCAGCAGGAGTGGCAACCACCTCCTCAGTGGCTGTTCTGGATGCCATGGGCCTACCATCAGTCAGTGGGTCAGGCGTACGGGCCCCGCTCACGAACCGCTTCCATCTCCTCAGCGTCTGTAGCACTGCCGCTAATGTCACCGCCACCGGCACCGCCGTCCGACAGGAGTGTGCCACATGGCATTACGGCACCCCCAGGTTAAACAACGCACCGACAGGGGCTTGGCTTCCTTCAGCGCAGGCAGCGCCCAGCACTCCTCGGTGTTCGGTGGCGACCCTGGTACCGGCCGCGGTGCCGCATCTTGAGCCCGCACCGGCCACGCAGCCGGAGTACCGTGTGCCGCAGGCCCTTACAGAGGGAGACGTGGTAGATAAAGGGCAGCTACTTGGGACATCTTCCTCTTCATCTCCGGATGAGGCAGTAGCGGGAACTTCGGCTGCTCCGGCTTTAGAGGATAATAAACTCCTCCAACAGCTCCTTACTCGAGTGGCCCAGAGCCTTTTGATAAAGACGGAACAGATCGAGGTGGACACCGATCCCGTAATTGATATCCTGACCCCGTCAGGCCTATCTAGGGTAGCCCTACCCCTCATAAAAACGATTGCGGACACAACCCGTACCTTGTGGCAAACTCCAGCCTCATTGGCCCCTACAGCCAAAAAAACTGAGAGGCGGTATTTTGTCCCAACCAAGTGCTATGAACATCTTTACACGCACCCCCTGCCGGACTTCCTAGTGGTGGATGCAGCCAACCAGAGGGAGCGACAAGGTTTTCAGGGACCCACTCCTAAAAATAGAGAGGCCAAAAAGTTGGACCTCTTCGGACGCAAGGTCTATTCAACGGGGGGCCTACAGTTGCGTATTGCCAATCAGCAGGCCATAGTGAGCCGGTATGGACACAACACGTGCTCAGCTTTGTCTAGGTTTGCGGACCTCCTCCCGCAAGATTCACGAACCGAGTTCTCGGCCCTTGTCGAGGAGGGCAGATTAATTACTCGAGCTTCCTTTCAGGCAGCCTTGGACGCAGCCGATTCGGCCTTGCGCACGCTGGCTACTGGTCTGGTCATGAGGCGCGGAGCCTGGCTTCAAGTTTCTGGCCTTCCTCATGAAGTTCAACAGACTATACAGGACTTACCCTTTGAAGGGCCCATGCTTTTCTCAGAAAAGAAAGACAAACAGCTCCATAGCCTAAAGGACTCGCAGACCACCCTGCGTTCTTTAGGCCTACGCACCCCTGTTACTCAGCGTAGGCAGTTTAGGCCGCCGCAGGCCCCATGTATGTATCAACCTCAAAATCGAGGTGATGCCGTGTGCAGAAGACCGCGGACTGGCAGGAGGAGGCAACAACAGCCCTTCGGCCAGTCTTCTACCCAACCAAGGCCTCCGCAGGGGCCTAGACCACCATTTTGAGGGTTCGGTGGAGGACGGCCTATCGGACAGATCTCTGGATCCTCCCAACCTTACCTTTTCATCACGTCTGTCCCCCTTCTGTCGTGCGTGGGCCCGGATCACGTTAGACGTTTGGGTGCTTCGCACGGTAGAGGAGGGATATTCTATCCAGTTTTCCTCCCTCCCGCCCCACCTGCCCCCTCCCTGTCCCTCTTCAGGGACTCCTCTCACGAGCAGCTTCTTCTTCAAGAAGTTCAGTCCCTCCTTACAGCAGGGGCAGTGGAGGAGGTGCCTCGAGAACTACGGGGCAAGGGCTTCTATTCTTGATATTTCCTAATACCGAAAGTGAAAGGGGGCCTCAGACTTATTCTGGACTTGCAGCGTCTCAACAAGTTTGTCAAGAAGCTCAAGTTCCGCATGGTCTCCCTGTCCTCCATCATTCCTTCCCTGGATTCAGGAGACTGGTATGCCGCCCTCGACTTAAAGGGTGCATACTTCCATATCGCGATAATCCCTCACCATAGGCGTTATGTCAGGTTTCTCGTCGGCAACATGCATCTACAGTTCACGGTTCTACCCTTCGGTCTATCAGCAGCCCGAAGGGTCTTTATGAAGTGCATGGCAGTCGTGGCAGCCTTCCTCCGCAGGCAAGGGATCCAGGTATTTCCTTACCTGGACGATTGGCTCATCAAGGGCAGGACTGAGGCTCAGGTGGTCTTCATCAGGCACACCTTCAGCTCCCTCGGCCTCTTACTCAATGAGGCCAAGTCCACTCTTTCTCCAACACAAAGAATCGAATTCATAGGAGCACTTCTGGACTCGACACAAGCCAGAGCATATCTCCCAGAGGCCAGATTCTGAACTTTGTCCAACATCATTCTCGGCCTCCAAGCTTACCCTACCACGACAGTAAGAAGCTGCCTCAAATTACTAGGGCACATGGCAGCATGTACCTATGTCGTCAGACACGCCAGGCTCAGACTCCGCCCTCTCCAATCTTGGTTGGCAGGGGTTTATCGGCCAGTCAGGGACTCCCTAGACTCAGTGCTGATGTTACCTCGTCCGGTGTTAGACTCCCTCCAATGGTGGCTCGACCCACGGGTGGTCTGCGCGAGGGTCCCTTTCCTCGAACCAGAGCCCTCCCTGACCCTGGTAACGGACGCGTCGGATCAGGGGTGGGGTGCACATCTGGGCCACCTCCGCACCCAAGGTCTTTGGGCGAGGGAAGATCTTTCATTGCACATCAATGTCAGGGAATTACGAGCAGTACGCCTCGCATGCATGGCATTCAAGTCCCAGCTCGCGGGCAAGTGCGTTTCTGTCCTCACAGACAATACTCCAACCATGTTGTATATCAACAAACAGGGTGGTGCTCGCTCCTCTCCCCTTTGCCAGGAGGCCCAGGCATTATGGGACTTTTGCGTACAGAACTTAATTCACCTGATAGCATCCTACCTCCCTGGCACGCACAATGCGCTCGTGGACACTCTCAGCCGCTCGTTCCAGGATCACGAGTGGTCTATCCGCTGGGATTTAGTTCTCTTAATTTTCCGACTCTGGGGTCATCCCCAGGTAGACTTGTTTGCTTCCAACGAGAACAGGAAGTGTCGTCAATTCTGCTCCCTCATGAGACGCAGTCAGGGATCCCTATCAGACGCGTTTCTCCTCTCTTGGGCAGACGGGCTGCTTTACGCCTTCCCCCCCGATTCCCTTGATTCACAAGGTGATCCTCAAGGCCTGCAGAGACCACGCTCGACTCATCCTCATAGCTCCTGTGTGGCCACGCCAGCATTGGTACGCATCTCTCCTACACATGTCTACGAGGGTTCCACTCAGGTTGCCCCTACTACCAGACTTGATCACGCAGGATCGCGGTCGCCTCCTTCACCTGAACCTGGAGTCGCTCCACCTTACAGCTTGGATGCTCCATGGCTAAACCCACTGGAGTTACAATGCTCCCATCAGGTCAGACAGATCCTGTTGGGCAGCAGGAAGCCCTCGACAAGGTCTACGTATTTGGCCAAGTGGAAGCGCTTCTCCTTCTGGATTACACAACGCAGTCAGTCCCCCTTGCTCGCCCCGATCCCTCTCATCTTGGACTATTTTCTACATCTGAGACACTGGGACTAACTCGGTCATCGATTCGAGTACACCTTGCTGCAATATCCGCATTCCACCCTGGGGAGGGGGGGACCTCAGTGTTTGCAAACCCACTTGTGGGACGATTCCTTAAGGGTCTTGACAGATTGTTCCCGCATATCTGTCAACCTGTCCCTGCTTGGGACCTCAATTTGGTCCTGTCTGTCCTCATGGGGCCCCCCATTCGAGCCGCTGGCTTCATGCTCGCTGTTTTACCTCTCATATAAGGTCGCGTTCTTGGTGGCTATCACCTCAGCACGGAGAGTATCGGAACTCAGAGCTCTGACATCCGAGCCTCCATACACCGTCTTCCACAAGGATAAGGATAAGGTCCAACTCAGGCCGCACCGTGTGTTCCTACCTAAGGTGGTTTCCCCTTTTCACATGGGTCAAGACATTTTTCTCCCTGTGTTTTATCCCAAACCGCATTCCTTCAGGAAGTCGACCCAACTTTTCGTCGCTGTGGCCGACAGTAGGAAGGGGCTCCCTGTCACGTCACAGAGGATCTCGGCTTGGGTCAGAACCTGCATCCAGGTGTGCTACAGTCGGGCCAGTGTACCAGCCCCGCCTATCACGGCCCACTCCACAAGAGCGCAGGCCTCTTCAGCTGCATTCCTGGCCCACATCCTAACACAGGAAATTTGTAGAGCGGCCACCTGGTCCTCGATCCACACCTTTACGGCTCACTACGCCATTACGCACCATGCTAGGGAGGATGCTGCATTTGGCCGCGCAGTCCTCCAGTCTGCAGTGACCTCCGACCCCACCACCTAGACTTGGGCTTGTGAGTTACCTGCTTGGAATGCACATGAACAATCACTCGAAGAAGAAGAAACGGTTACTCACCTTCTCGTAACTTTTGTTCTTCGAGATGTGTTGTTCATGTCCCTTCCAATACCCACCCTCCTACCCCTCTGTTGGAGTATTGGCAAGAAGGAACTGAGGCAGTGGGCGGTTGGCTGGCCCCTATATACAGCACCATAAAGGCGCCACTCCAGGGGGCGCCGGAGCCGACCCTACGGACGCTGCTATGGTAAAATCTTCCGGCTGGTGTGCACGTGGCACGCACACACCTGCTTGGAATGGACATGAACAACACATCTCGAAGAACAACAGTTACGAGAAGGTGAGTAACCGTTTCTTCTTCTTCAAGTAGTGTCCCTGTAGGTGCGATAGTGCCCCTGTGCCTGAGATCAGAGATCTTCAGTAGCAGTGCCCATTGGGCCGCACACGCGCTTCTCCCTGACTCGCGCTGTGAGTGGCATCTATATAGTGCTATGCCGTCCAGCCTCCCTTAGTTCCTTCTCAACCGCTTTTGGTCTGGGGTGGAATCCCAAGCAGAGCTCGTCATACATCCCTATCCTTTAGTAATGGTAGTGTTTCCGTTATTTTGTAGATATTAGCCATTTCCTTTATTTTTGTTTCTCCTGGTGGGAAAAAAAAATTCCGCTGCTCTTCACTACCTGATATTCTTTAGCTTAGTGTAGGTTTCCTTTTCTATGCCCTTTCCAATTGGGAAGTTCTCCCTTCTCGGAGTTACGCTCGCATCCCTGGGTTCAAGAGTTGCTTTTCCTGTCGTGAGGCCATTCCCATCAGTGATGGTCACTCGCGGTGCATATGCTGTCTTGGTGAGGAACACATCTCACAAAAGCATACCCACTGCCTCAAATTAAAGGCTCGGTCCAGAAAGAAAGAAATGTTATGGACCCAATGAGGCTTTGAAGCCAAAGGAAATAATATAGGTGATTCCTCATATAATGAACTTCTGTTCTTCCAGAGTTAGTTCCAGCAGAGACTGCTCCAATGCTGGTTTTGTGTGTGGAATCTGTAGTGTTGATTCATGTCTCTCAACTATGAGGGCTCTTCTGATGTTTCAGTAGAGCAAAGCGCCATCATCTTTCATGCCCCTGGGTTCTCCTAGACATGGATTATCCCTAGAGTCAATTAAAACTCATCATGCAAGTAGGGCTTTAAACATTTACTAGATGCGTATCAGCCAGGTTAGAGGAGGGTATTGTGAGCCCCCAGTCACTAATGAATTTATCCTCACAGTACCCCTGTGTATTTTGATGTCTTTTATATAATGGGAACTAATGCATAGGAATAACGTGTTTACCCAGAAAGTCTGGCAGAGCCAGAATTGAACTCTGAGCTTTTACCAGTGCAGTATTTTAATCACAACACCATTCTTCTTCTCATCCTGGAATCTGATGGTGCAGAGAGTTGTTATAAATTTCTTTCCATCAGTGGTACGTGACTCCCTCACCCACATACAACCACCTTCCTGTGACATGGATCTAATACAGTACTTATCAAGCTTATGGAATCACTGGTTAAACCTTTAGTAGTCTCTGAAGACTGCATCCTTAATGAATACAGTATTGGCTCGAAAAGTTAGTGTGAATCAGATTTTGATGGTTGATGCTCAGTGTGTTCCATAAGAAATATTGTAGCATATTGAACCTAGATTATATAGCAGACTCTTGCTCCCTACACATATGCTCTTGGAGCTAACCTTATGATTAGGGGTCTACTTAAATTATGGAGAAATCACATATTTTTCATGGGTCGGTCATGGCATAAATAGCAAATTTTGCAGATGTATTCATACCATGCCACTCTTGCTTCTGTACTGCTGCTGGTGGCGGCACTGCCTTCAGAGCTGGATGTTGGGCCAGGAGCTGTCAGTCTCTGAAGGCAGCGCTGAAGTAAGGGTGGCAATACTGCAATCCACCTACAATAGGCTTCTGTGACCCCCTTTTGTGTCGGGACCCCCAGTTTGAGAAATGTGTACTTTTACCCATACTTTTAACGGTCCCTTTCCCTTTTCCAGTGGCATAAGCTTTTGTTCAGAGATCAGTGACAAAACTAATTAGAGGTTTGGAAAAACTTTCACATAAAGAGTGACTAAAGAGATTGAAACTCTTTTAGTTTAGAGTAGATAAGTAGATACAGTGATAGTTGTTGTTCAGAATAGTAAATGGTATAGAAAAGATAGAGCAGGGACTTCTGTCTGCCCTTTCTCATAACTCAAGAACAAGAAGACTTCCAGTGAAACTGAAAGGCACCAACTTCAACTCTTTTTACAGAATGCACAATTAATCTGTGGATCTCGTTGATACAAGACATGATGGAGGCCAAGAGCATCCAAAAGGATTAGACACTTATGTAGATAATGAGAATATCCAGAGTTAAATGATTAAAGCTTTAAAAAAAATTCCACACGTTTTGGAAAGTTTTTAAACCCTTACATTTCAGGGCATGAGAAATCGTCTCTCTGTGTGTATGTCTACACAGCAATTAAAAACATCTGCGGCTGGCCTGGATCAGCTGATTTGGGCTCGTGGGACTTGGGCTGCAGGCTGAAAAATTGTGATGTAGGCATTTGGGCACAGGCTAGAACCTGACCTCTGGAATATCCCACAAGGTGGGAGGATGCCAGAGCTTGGGTTCTACCCCAAGCCCGAACATCTGCACCACAATTTTATAGCCCTGAAGCCTAAGCCTCATGAGCCCAAATTAGCTGACCTGAGCCAGCTGCTGGTGTTTAGTTGCTGTGTACCATACCCTGAGGGTCCAAGGAGGAAAGCCCACTTTTTTCAGAACTAAGCAAAAGTTAGATCTGGTGTAGCTTCTGAAAAGGTTTTTAAAAAAATCACTCCATGTTTATGGTAATATTTTAAGTATTTCATGATCTAGAGAATCAAGTTCTCTGTTATCTTTTTCAGAATCTTATTTGTTCAGAGTGTGGAGATGAGTTTACTTTGCAGACCCAACTGTCCATGCATATGGAAGAACATCGTCAGGAATTGGCTGGAAGCAGAACCCATAGTTGCAAGTCCTGTAAGAAGGAATTTGAGACTTCCTCACAGCTTAAGGAGCACATGAAAACTCACTACAAAATAAGGTGTGAATCACTGGATAAGTTATGCATATTCATGTAATAAGGGATGCTCCTTTGCAGCAGTAGAATATAGAGAAGCCTGAAAAGAACTTACTTCCGTCTGGCTCAGTCGGTGATTGCCTGGTCTGGTCTTGTACAGGCAGTGGGAATTGTCCAGCAGGGGCACCCTTATGAGGGTCCTCCATCCACCTTCAAGACCTACCACTTTAAATTCATGTTGTAAGTGTCCTACTGAGAAAGTGGCAGTGCTGTAGGACTTCATGCTGCTGAGTGTGCTCAAGCAAAAGCACTATGGATTTAGCTTGAAATTTTGCTTGAATGCGAACTTAACAAATCAGTCCCTTATTTGGGATTATATTTTCCATGATATTGCTGACTATCTGAGGCTGTAGTTTGGCTCTTTTTAAGTGTATACAGGTAACTTCTGTTGTGTTTGTGAGAGAGTTCGCTAGCCTTACGTAAATACTGATTTTAAAAGCCAAAGGAAGAGCATTATAATAAATATGACATAATTAACTTCAAGTTCTATGAGATAATTTGAGTACGTTTAGAAATGTAAAAGGAACTGAAATGGTATTATTTTTTATTTTTAATTCCTCACCGGAGTAGGCTGTGATTATATTAATAAGCCCATAAATATTAAAGAAAAAGAAAGTGTAGTTCCAATTGACGTATCTGTAAAGTATGTGTTTTAGAGTTCCTGATATATAGTGCTTTATCTTTGAGTAATGTTCCTGTGGGTGCTTCACTTGAGGTGCGCATGTGCCCTGTGCACCTTTGATCTGAAATTTTTGGCGGCAGTGACTGTTTGGTCTGCTTATACGCCCCACCTGTCTTCATGTGGAACACCAGAGCCAGCATTCCCTGTTCCCATTCGTTCCCCATCAGCAGTCTGCATTGCAGGAGGAAACATTTGAGGAGCAAGAAAGAAGGGGTGATGGAGGAGGCTACTCTTCAAACAAATGTTTCATCATCATCTCTGGTTAAAGCGGTTATGTTCCACCCATCTATTGGGGATGACTTCTAGGAGTTGGCGAAGAGAGTGGTGGACTCTCTCCGAATTCTGTTAGGAAAAAGTCCCAGAGATCCAGTGTAAATTGTTGGAAATTTTACACCCTCCACCTTTTGTGAATGAGCTGCTGTTGGAGCCTACCAAAATGGCTTGGCAAGTCACTGTTGCTCTCTCAGCTTCTCCCCCCCCATCCCCAAAGTTAAGAAGCTAGATTTAAAAAAAAAAAAAAATTTACCCGGCCAGGGACTCAGAATTTTTATTTTCTCATCCTGCCCCCAACTCCCTGGTGATGGAGACAGTCAACAAGTGGAACGGGCATCACCATTCAAAAGCAACCCTCTTGACAAGGACGAAAAGTATTTAGATTTATTTGGTAGCAAGATGTACTTGTCTGCATCCTGCAGTTTAGATCCGTGAAATATAATCACATCAACCAAGCCAAATTTAATTTTTATTGAGCGACTCCCACAAGAACACAGGAAGCAATTTCAGGCCATCATCGTGGAGGGACAGCTCCTGTTGGGGAGGACTTTACGGATTACCTCTACACTGCTGAGACAGCAGCTTGATCCATGTCCTCTACTGTAGTCGTTCACGATGCATTCTTCAGTCTTCATGGCCAGGACCACTATCAATATTGCGTCTTCCCTTAGGGCTATCTACCACCCAGAGGATGTTCATAAAAGTTACGGCGATAGTTGCTGCATAGCTTTTTCAATGGGGAGAAACCGTTTTTTGCTATCTTTACAATAGGCTCCAAAAGGGACCTTATTACACTGAAGTTCAAACTGCAGTAAACAAAGCCACCCCTCTACTCACAAGGCTCGGTCTTCAACATTGTGAAGTTCTCCCTTGTACTTGTACAACAGATAGAGTTTATAGGCACCACTCTTGATACCGTAACATCCAGGGCCTGTCTACCAAGGGACAGGTTCTTCACCCTGACACAAGTTGCACAAGTTCAATTAAGTCTCTCGACCAGATTCTGGCTCCAAGTCCTTGGGCACATGGCAATGTGCACCTTCATCATATATGCCCAATTACACCCGCACTGCTTCCAAGCCTGGCTCTGATCAGTCTACACCCCAAACAGGGACAGGTTGAACAAGTTGCTCTCTGTCCCTCATGTGTTAGTCTCCTTTGACTTGTGGAAGAATCTGAACAAAGTATGTTTAGGGGTTCCTTTCAACTATCCCCTTCCCACTATTAAAATAGTTGCTGACACACCCCTGGATGGGAGCTCACAGGATTATAGCGTACAGGGCAGGTGGACCACTTGAGTCCACCCTTCAGATCAACATCCTGGAACTTATGGTTGTAAGGTGTGCCTGTCAGTACTTCCTTTCATTTGCATAATAACAGACCACAGGTCACTTTGCACTACATAAACTGGAGGGAGGGAAAGGGCAAGATCTCCTTCCCTCTGTACAGAGGACATGAAGTTATGGAACGGGCGCATAGCTCAGTGTAGTCTTCTTTCAATAGTCTCTCTGCCTGGTCTTCAAAACACCATAGCTGATGAACTCAGCAGACACTTCGCACAGGATCATCAATGGGAGCTCAGCAAGTCTGTACTCAGACTGCTGTTTCTCACCTGGAATTTTCTGACTATAGATCTCTTTGCCATCATCATCAAGTGGAGACGCACAAACTTGTGCTTGTTCCCTGGGTGATGTCTTTCTTCTCTCATGGTCCAAGAACCTTCTACGTGCCTTTCTTGCAATGCTATTAATCCTCATGGTCCTGAACAAAGTCAGGCAAGACATAACCCCACACATACTGATTGCATCAGCCTGGCCAAGGCACCTTCTCCGCTTCTTCTCTTGGCTGGCCATCAACTTACCCTCCAAACTTCTCTTGCAGGACTCAGGTAGCATTCTTCACCCCAACGTAAGCTTGCCTGGGATCTGGAAAGCACATAGAGATAGAGCTCTCCTGTTGGAAGCAGATGCAGAAGGTCCTGCTTAACAGTTGAAAAGGAGATCAGAAAAACTTAAGTTCAGCAGTGGAAAAGATTTTACCAATGGTGTGCTCACCGACATCTGTCTTCCGTTGATTCATCCATTTCAGAAGTTTTAGAATAACTTCTTATCCTGAAGAAAAGAAGTGGACTCCATTAAAATCCATCTGGCAGCCATTCACAAACTTCCTTTTGAACCAATGGCCACCTTTCCATGAAAACCACCTTTTTAGTGACCATTACTTCTGCTTGAAGAGTTGGTGTGCTAGGGTCTTTGATGGTTGACCCTCCTTACACTGTTTTCTTCAAAGATAAGGGGTTCTTCTGACCACATCCACAGTTCTTACCTAAGTCATTTCAGACTTGCATATAAATCAGACAATTCATCTCCCTATATTTTGTTCTGAACCCTATCAGAGTAGGGAAAATGCTGCCCTCCATAAACTGGATGTTAAGAGGGTTCTCTGGCATACATTTGGACAGGATTAAACTCTTCTGAGCCTCTCCAAGTTTATTTGTATCTTTATTTGTATTGTGGACCGAGCTAAAAGGAACTCCATTGTCTATCTGGAGACTTCCTAAATGGGTTTCTGCCTGTATCTCTTCTTCTATGAAGCCGCTAATGTACCATGCCCACCTAGAGACATAACCCATTCTACCAGATATGACTCCACATCTGTTGCCTTGCTAAAAGCTGTCCCTATAAAGTAGGGGTTCTCAAACTGGGGGTCGGGACCCCTCAGGGGGTCATGAGGTTATTACATGGAGGGGGGGGGTCGCGAGCTGTCAACTTCCACCCCAAGCCCTGCTTTGCCTCCAGCATTTATAATGGTGTTAAATATATAAAAAAGTGTTTTTAATTTATAAGTGGGGGGGGTCGCACTCAGATACTTGCTATGTGAAAGGGGTCACTAGTAAAAAAAAGTTTGAGAGCCACTGCTATAGAGCAGCGATTCTCAAACTTTATTGCACCGCAACATCCTTCTGACAACTAAAATTACTACATGACCCCAGGAGGAAGGGGACTGAAGCCTGAGCCCTGCCACCCCAGCTGGAGGACCCAAGGCCTTCAGCCCCAGGCAGGGGGGGGGCCTGTAACCTGAGCCCCACCGCCAAAGGCTAAAGCTGAAGCCTGAGCCTTGCTGCCCAGGGCTTTAGACCTCAGGCTTCTGCCCTGGGCAATGTGACTCGGGCTTTGGCCCCAGGCCCCAGCAAGTCTAACACCAGCCCTGGCGACCCCATTAAAACGTGGTAGCAACCCACTTTGGGGTCCCGAACCACAGTTTGAAAACTCCTGCTATAGAGGAAATAGAGCTGCTAATGTGGGTTTCGGTCTACTCCTTTTGACACTATGCCCTAGTGAATGCTTCTCAAGCAGATGCTGCCTTTGGTTCTGTAGTACTGCTCAGAAGTCACCTTAAGTGGAGTAACAAGAGGGACGCTACTTGAAGAAGAAAGAGATTACTTAGCATGTAAGTAACTGGTATTCTTTGAGATATGTAAACCTATGGGCACAGGTGTAATTTGACTTCTATATTTGGAATGGCAGCTCCAGTCAGACCAATGGGGCCTGCATGTGTGTCAGGGGGGAGGCAAAATCGGTGCCTGCTGAAGGCATCGCCTCTCCCCCAAACTACACCCATGCCTGTGGATGCTCCTTTCCCTCTGCTCAGGAGTCTGATCTTTTGTAGTAGAGAAGAAACTGAGTGGTGTTTGTCTGCCTCAGACCTCTATACCCTCTGGTCAAATGTGCATATGCACCCCAAGTGGAACACCCATAGGACATCCATCTTGAAGAACTCCACTTACTGTACTGGGAAAATAACCCCTCCTTCTTGTAATGTTTGCAAATTTTTAAAGACTAAGGAAAACAAAGAATGAAATAAATATGTAACTGTGATTTATTGGACAGTTACTTATTACAGATGGATAAGGAACCCAATATGTGGTTCCTGCAATGAAAGACAGCATTTCCTTTCTGTGTATTAGGATTATTTATCTTTTCTGAAAAGAAACTTTTGAAAGGCTGTCCTTTTTCAGATTTTCAAGTTTGTAATGTCATTAAGTGAACGCACAGCAGTCACCGGTAAAACTGTAGATGATTGATTTTGTTGTTGTTGTGAGTATCTAGGCCCCTTTCTTTTCCTGAATTCTTCAGTTTTTCTTCACTAGTCTGAAGGCCACACTAAACCCTTCTTTAGTTTGTAACCGTGTTCTAAAATTGTTCATTCAACTACTACCTCATTATTGTCAATGGATATTCACGGATGTAGTAATGACGCATGAAATGGAACATCATATAGCTTGCTTTTTCTTAGCTGTTCTGGTTCTGCTAGGCTGAGTAAAAAGTGGTAAAAAGTTATTTTTGTCACTAAAGTAAGCACGTTTCTTGAGTGAGAAGGTTCTACTTTTAAGTGCTCACACTTTCTTTTAGAATAGAAAGAGATACTGCTAGTTGCTATATCAACCTTGCAAAATTTACCAGGTCAGGAACTGAATTTGCTCATCTGCCACTTACTATGGTGATTGATGTTTTCAAAGTCATAGACATTTTATTCATTGTGAATTAATAGAATCTTGCAAAACTGCTTCATACCATCTTAGTCCCATTTATCACCTGATTAGAGAATACCAGATATTCAAATTTGTGAGGTTTAGATATGGACCTAGCTGACACCACCAAACTAGATTAGTTTAATTAAGGGTGTATTTGAAGCCTAGTCCAGTGACAGAGGCTTTTTCTCTTCTCCAGAAAACAACTTTTGTAAAATTGTGGTAGTGTCCTCCACCACACCTACCCAATTACACTAAGAAGGTCTTAAGATAGTTCATGAAGTGTCCATCGCTGTCATTGGAGAAATAAATATCAAAATTTATCAGGCAGAATGGTTAAAAAAATAAAAAATACTGGTGCTGCAGCTGTTGATTAGTTCTGTAATGTTAGCAAAAAACTATAGCACATGCTGTACAATGTCAATGAAGCTGCATTTCTGACCTAAATTTATTGTAAATCCAGAAAAAGTAGTTGTAATGAAAAGTCATCTTTTTCAAATATTTAATCTGGGGATAAAAAGTCTTTATTTGTAACTACTTTGTGTATGTTTCCAGGGTATCCAATACTAGATCTTACAATCGAAACATTGACAGAAGTGGGTTTACATATTCATGTCCGCACTGTGGAAAGACATTCCAAAAACCAAGTCAGTTAACCCGACATGTTAGAATACATACAGGTAAGTGGGAGTTTGTCTTTCTTAAAATAAATAAATAAAAATTGTGAGATGGGTAAGCACTGTTTTCTCTTAGCTGGTTCTGGCAGTAGCATCAGTCTATCTGGTTACTTATATACTAACTAGTCTTGCCTTTGTACTAGAGACTTATGTACTGCAGTTAGTGCATATTGTGCATAATTTTCTTTGTATTAAGCCAAGGAAATCTTTGTTCGGTGGGTTTTTATATTCATGGTGGTACAAATCTAGATTCTGCTATTCAAAGTGCTTTGCAAAATTTATTTTTGGGGAATACCTGATTTTATACTTGTGGAAGCAATTTCAAAATTCTCTAAAATCTGAATTGCATGATAGTTCATCTAAACACTCTAAACAAGGCCCAAAATACTCTGCAGAAAGCAGGATCTAAATTCTGTGTCAGAATTCTTGCATTCTCTTGATGTTTGGTGAGGCAGACTGGAAATACTACAACAGCTGCACAGTTACCCTTTTTTTTTTTTTTTTTTTTTTTTTAAAGCATGGAACATGAAAATGAATAATAGTACAGAGTCTCATTTTTATTTTTGTTAAGTCTATTTATTTAAAGGCATTTCCACATTTTAAGTTTTTTCTGTGATTCCTTCAGGCATAACTGCATTGCTGAAGTTGTCAGTGGTGAACCTGAAGGTGTTGGTGGAGGGAAGATGAGTGGGAGGCACTTTAGAATTGCAGGATACGCACATTAGCTCGATGTTTCTGCTAAAATTATCAACACTGAAATAAATAGATGTTTGCATTTATATTCTTATATTTAGGTTTCAGACTTAACACATTGAGATGAATTGGGGCAGTTAAAGCACTTTAGCTATCCTTGCAGGCCGTCTGCCTGCTACACTATATTGTATATTTTCAGGGATTTTATGGCTAAGACCCTTTGTTTTCAATTTAAACTGATTTTTACTGAAAAAAATTTCAATTTTTTTTTAAACAATACTTTTTTTTTCCTGATTTCACCCTACTTTTGTATGATTCAAATATATAAAAAAATAATTTATTTTATTATAAAAATACAATAAATTGCATGAGATATGTATTACGATAATGCCTTAGTCTGTGTGTATATGCAGAGTTGCCAGTTGAAATAAGGCTATGTATTAGCTTAGAAGATACACACACTAAACAAGCATGCGTGCAAGCTCTGGAGTGCATGTGCATCTGAATGTACTGATGAATCTAATGCCCACCACATACACATTTCAAACCACATTGAATTCCATTAATCAAAACATTAGTCTGCTGAATACTTCCCTCCGTCCTTCCGTCCACCAAAATAATTTCTGATATTTACCCAGAAAAATAAATATTTTTTGTACCAATTTTCAGCTGTTTTTGTTGTTGTAGTAGTAAAGACCGATACATTCCTGGGAAAAATTAAATAAAATAAAAATAGAAAATGAAGGGCCCTATTTATGGCAAACATAGAGCTAGAAATATATACATTTCAACATGGTTCTGCAATGCATTGGGCTCTAAATGCAGTCATTAACAAAAATTGCAGAGGTTAACTCTTTATACTCATGCAGATATCTTATTCCTGATGACAATACACAGCAGGAATAAATGAACTCTCTTTTTCTAATTTCTAGGAGAACACAGGTGAATCCTATTGGTAATATTCCCAACCATTTCCCTCTGTACCAGTTTCCTTAATATAACAGCCATAGTACATGTGGACAGCTTAGTTTACTGAAAAGGGGAAGGTGAATTATCCATCAAACTTGCTCCTAGAATTGTGGTCAGTTCACGTTTTAATAGGGATATCCGTTTTAGGTTTCATATATTGAAGATCCAGAAAAGAAACACAAGAGGTCACTCTTACAACTGATTTTAAAAGTAGTCTCACAATTCAGTGTTGTATTTCCAAAGGTTAATTGAAAAGTTATTTTCCTGTTGAGTTCATTCTGTCTTGAATTTATTGTTCTACATACTTATATATTCTAATATAAATCTAAGAAACAAGATTGTACTTCATGGAGAGAACAGGAGTCCTTTAAATCCTTTGAACTTTTAGAAATTCGCAGTTCACTAGGAAGAATAAAAAGTGTGTATGTGTTGGTTGGAGGAGTGGGGGAGAGAAGATATGATCTCAGTGAAATGACTGCACATGAAATGGGTTAGTCACTAAATTCTAATCAGTTATAGCATATCTGAATATGCAAGGTTAATTTAACTCCATAGATCAGTAGATAAATCAATAGATAACACAGGGCCCCAAACACTATACCTCTACCTCGATATAATGTGACCGGATATAACACGAATTCTGATATAATACAGTAAAGCAGTGCTCGGGGGGGTGGAGGGGCTGTGCACGCCGGTGGATCAAAGCAAGTTCGATATAACGCTGTTTCACCTATAAAGCGGTACGATTTATTGGCTCCCGAGGACAGCGTTGTATTGAGGTAGAAGTGTATTTAGGTGTTGTACAAATGTAATAAAAATCAATTTTGTTGTCTTTTTATAAAATGCATTCTTTATATTTGTACAGCATCTCACCAGAGAGAGCCATAGTTACAGTTGTTTCATTGTTAGCCACTGTCTTCAAGCCCTTTCAGGAAAAAAAAATTAGCCTGTAGGGCCATGGAAGCAATTTCAATATTTTCTAAAATCTGAATTGCTAGTTAGGTCATCTAATCACTCTAAAAAAGGCCTCATATACTAGAAAGCAGCATCTAAATTCTAATCTCTTTTTAAAAAAAAAAAAGAAAAAGAAAAAATACTTTTTGGATAACAAACATTAAAGGTAACATTGTTGTAAGTGCTATTTTTGAAAACCAAATAATCTATGCTAGCACGCAACATCCAAATAAGAGCAAATGGGCAGTTTAGTGATTGAGTTAGATGCAATGACAACAGATGGTAGACTATTACTGTACATGTAATGTGCTTTGCTTATGATGGCATTATTTTTCTCTCTAATACATAATGTCATTATTGGTAATGGATTTATGTATTTATTTATTTATTTTAGGTGAAAGACCATTTACATGTAGTGAATGTGGAAAAGCCTTTAACCAGAAGGGGGCATTACAGACACACATGATTAAGCATACTGGTGAAAAACCCCATGCTTGTGCCTTTTGTCCAGCAGCCTTTTCTCAAAAAGGCAATCTTCAGTCTCATATACAGAGAGTTCATTCAGAGGTAAATGCAATTTTGTTAATAATATGATTGCTGTTAAATATACTGCTTATCAATTTTTAACCTTTTCCTCTCCGTATTTAACCCACCCTATTTATATTACATCATATTCCAATGTTGTACCTTGTTGCCTGCACCCAACATGGATTATATGCTAAAGTAGAGATTACTGAGCAGTTTTGCTCAATTTGATCTAGTAATTTAGACTTGCTAAAATCATTAATCTGAATTAACATTTTTTTTTATTAGTAGCAGAGGATTCATTTACTCTTTATCTTTCAAGTATATTGGTTTATGATGTATCAGCTGAGTAATTTAAGATAATTTTATTTATTACAATTTGTATTTTTTTTTTAAAAACTATCCTTGGCTCTAGCTGCCTTTGATATAATTGAAAATACAAATGGGTAAAGATTTAACCGGTAGCTTTTCCAAAACTATAAGATAAGACAACCAGGCAGAGATTTCAAACCCAGACAATACCCCTCCGCTCATCAATACCAGGAAATAAATGATAGCCATTAGAAGGGGCTTTCTGGGTTACAGTTGGAGCAAAAGAAACTACCATGGAAGATACAAACTGTGGTATTGCAACTCTTCATTCTGACTTTTTTCTTTATGGTCTCTTGACACACATATTCAGAGATCTTAAATTCAAAAAGGACATTATAATCATGTAGTCTGACTTTCTGCATAACACTGGCTATACTACTTTATCTAGAAGTTTCTGCACTGATCCCAACAACTTGTGGTTGAACATATCTTTTCAGAAAGAAACTTAATCTTGGTTTAAAGGCTTCAGGTGATGGAGAATCTGCCATATCCTTGGTAAACTATTCCAATGGTGTATTACCCTGACTGTTTAAAAATTTGTGCCAGTTTGAATTTTTCTAGCTTCCAGCCAATGGAACTGGTTTTCAATTTGTCTGCTAGATTAGAACTTGGAAGTATAAGGTATCTTCTGCATGTTTAGCTACTTGTAGATTTTGATTTAGGGTTTGTCTACACACAGGTTTTGTACCAATTTAACTATATCAGTTTTGACACAGATACAATTCTGTGCAATTCTCTAGTGTGGACTCAGTTATCTGTCCTGGTATTAAAGTGGCTATATCATTGTAGCTTATTTTGGTAAACTCCGGTAAGCTGTAACTAGGGTTACCATATCTAACAAATAAAAAAAGAGGACCCTCCACGGGCCCTGGCCCCGCCCATTTCCCCACCCCTAGCCCCTCCCCAACTCCGCCCCTTCCCCACCCCAACTCCGCCCCCTCCTCCCTCCCACTCCCAGCCACGCAGAAAGGGCTGCCCGAGTGCTACCGGCTTCACGGTTTGCCGGGCAGCCCCCAGACCCTGCGCCCCCGGCCGGTGCTTCCCCAGCGCAGCTGGAGCCCGGGAGGGGCACAGGGTCTGGAGGCTGCCCGGCAAACTGTGAAGCCGGTAGCACTCGGGCTTTGGGCAGCCCCCTTGCCTCCGGACCCTGCGCCCCCAGCCGGGCACTTCCCCTCCTGGGCTCCGGCGGCGCAGGGTCCGGAGATATGGGGGCTGCCCGAAGCCGGTAGCACTTGGCTCTTAAACAGAGCCGAAGAGTCGGGGAGGAGCAGAGCCACCATTTTCCCGGACATGTTCGGCTTTTTGGCAATTCCCCCCGGACGGG